GTGCACTTTCTTTTTTAAGATCCTTGATTATTTGCAACAATAATTTTCATGGATTTATCCTTGATGAAATTGGTAATTTAAGCCAGCTTCGAGAAATAGAGATGCAAGACAATGAGCTAAACGGTTCTATTCCAACAAGTCTTGGATTTCTTGAAAATCTGCAGAAGCTAAGTCTCTCCAATAACAGACTCTATGGGGAAGTTCCTAATAGGGTTTTCAACCTCTCTTTTTTGACAGGAATTGATTTAGGACGTAATAGTCTCTCAGGAAGTCTTCCTACAGATGTCTGCAATAATCTTCCAAATATGGAGCGGCTTAGAATTTCTTATAATCAAATAAGTGGTAACATTCCTCCAAGCTTGGGAGCATGCAGGAAGCTTCAACTACTTTCTCTGGTGAACAATAAGTTTTCTGGAAGCATTCCAATCGAAATCGGAAACTTGCCAAAGCTTCAAAAACTCTATCTACAAGGAAATAATTTGATAGGTATGTTTAAAGTGGTTTTCATATACATAAATCTCCCAAAACATAATGTTTTCCAAAAAAAATTGTGAAATTGAACAATATTGTTAATCTTTCACATCATAGATATTTCATACATTCGTAGGATATTGTTTTCTATTGAATATGCCCTTTTACATAGCTACACTAAAAATTAAGTAAGTACTTACCCCAGGAAATCTCAATTGTGCATTTTGAAACTAGGAACCTATTTTGGCCTATAAATTTTTCATGCAAAAGCATGTAGAAACGTTGACCAACAAACTAATCTTTAATTCCTACGTAAAGAATTAAACGAAAAAGTGATGCAATATTGAATATGGCTTGATGGTACAATGAATAAAATTAGCTTTGACAAATATTCCAAATGAAATTGGAAACCTATCAGAACTTGTATATTTAGATTTAAGGTTCAACCGTCTCAATGGTACATAATTATATCTCCGAAATTAATTTTATATATTGAATTCAACGTTCTAAAAAGGATTGAGTGTGTCTAGACACCAAGGCCAAAACTTCAAACTTTTACTAGCCTGAATGGACTAGGCATAGAAAAAATATAAAGTGTGGTTAGGCGGCAAGGTCCATCTTCGTGCTTAAATGTGTTTTTTAAAATACTTGCTAAATCTATTTTAATTTGTTTATTTAGTGTCCTCACGAAGATTTATACCAAAATTTAAAATTTAAAATTGTCAAATATAAA